CTGGAATTAAAGGCGTGTGCCATCACTGCCCAGTTTGTACATAGCTTTTATTTAAAAATAATAATAATAATAATAATAATAATAATAATAAGACTTGATTGTTTGCATTTGGCTTTATATTCTGGGAAGACAGCTAATGCTGACATTTAAACTTTTTCTTCCAAACCAAAGTAGAATTCTGAGGAGAGAGGGAGAAAAAAAGAGAGATAGTTAATTTATTTTCTACTTTTTTGAAACTGGAAATGTTAGCAGTGAATAATTTCATTTGGAATGTTATGGATTTTACACCAAGTAATAGTAGAGCCAGTTCTATAAATGTCAGTTGAACTGAGAGCCTGGAGAGTGATAATATATGTATAAAAATATCATCATTTGTATATCCAAATTTGCCACCCCTTAAAGATGGACACTTCCCATGTCAAGACCATGCAGGTTGTCTACACAGACACCAGCATGGCCAGAGAAACTCCCTTTGTCTTTACTATTTGGAGGGATCTTGGTCAGTCACCCCCTCTTTCATACCTTTTATTTCCTAACTCCTAATATCTCCCAGATGGAAAAACTCTCGCCTCCACCCATCTTCCTCAGACTCTGTGAGTGGCAGCTTCCTTCTTGAGTGAAGCAGACTTGCCCAGGAGATGTTGCCCTCGTGTGGTTTTTCTCTTCTCTGAATTGTTGAAGGACAGAAACTTCCTCTAATATGCCACAGAGCTGATTCAGAGAAAACCCTTTTTCGCATGTAATAGAAGCTGTAGAGTCTTTTCACAGAAAAGGGACTGTGTGCCTGCAGTAACACCACCAGATCCTTCACACACTTTCAGAAGACTGTAGGTTTTCTGATGTCCGCCGACAGGAGCCCCTGGAATGTCTATTGTGGTACTTTGTCTCCAGTGGAGAAAAGAGCTTGAAGTTTGCATTCTAAAGCTTTCAAAGCCGAGGGTGAGTTCATTGGCCAGTTACCCATTTTGAATGCCCTCTTTTGCTGTCAACCAATGTGAACATAAACATAACTTCTTGAAAGTTGTAAGATTTGAAAAAAATAAAGTGTGGGAAAGCTTATAAACACACAGTAAGTACTCCATATAAAATGTGGATGTTCTTCATATGTCCTTTTATTTTCATATATTAATAGATAATCAATGAGCATCTTTGAACGCTTACTATATGCCAGGATGTGTTTATGTCCTTTCGGCTAGAGTCAACTCCTAGGTGGATGCTAGACTACAAGTAGTCTGTATATCACCTGCCATGAGATCGTGGCTTCCCTCACTGCATTCCCCACCTGCACCTGTGCTATGTATGAAAATGCTCAACACAGGCGCAGTCAGTTCTTGAGGGGCAGCTGTGAACAGGGGCATGTTTTCTATAAGATCAAAGAGCAGGAATAAGTTGCGGCCACATTGTTCTCAGATGCCATTATTTTAGAGAAAAAGGTTCCTCGGGGGCTCTGAGTACCTTCTGCATGGCTGTATTCGCTGTGACGTAAACTTCTGCAGCTGGGGAGGAATGACAAGCAGCTGACAACTCTTGAAACAGAAGCAGGAGTCATAGAAGGGGGTGGCCATGAAGTCACTGGATAGAACGTGCAAGCCAGATTTTCCAGCTCTGCAGAGTACACCCCTGGACTGCCAGAGCAGGCAGCTCTGCCACCCATATGTCTGCTCTGCCATGGGAACTGTGACTCAGTACATCCTCAGATATCCTCTTTGAAGCAGCCACTCTGAGCCAGAGGGGAATTTTTCTTTTCTTCACTTGCTCTTAACCATGATGTCTATATTTACCCACTGTGATCTTCAATTTTTTTTTGAATACTGAATCCTGAAAAAGACTATTTTTACTTCCTGCTCTTTGAGTCTGCAAATGTTCAGACACAAAATGCCTTCTCTAGCTCCTGGCCCAGTGGCCTCCGCTTTGTGTCCAGGTTGTGACCAGCCCTTTTTATTCTCTTGGCTTCAACTTAATTATGTCAGTATCTGCATCCTTCAGCAGACTGAAATGTTATTCTTTTATTTAATGCCATAAAATATGTCTAATCTCAAGTATAAATCTATCTTAATTAAGTTTTCTCCTTAGTACCGCGGTGCATAGCAGTGTGCTCATGTAGGAGCTATGCAAACAGATTGGAGAGGGGCCTTTCTAAGTGGAGTCCAGGGTTCAGTTTAAAAAGTACCATGGTGGGCTAGGGATGTAGCTCAGAGAGAGCATATTCATGGCCCTGGGTTTATTTCTGAATATGTTCATAATAGACAGATAGATAGATAGATAGATAGATAGATAGATAGATGATATATAGAGATGTAGAGAAGATGATCGATATATAGAAGATAGATAGATGATAGAGATGACATATTTATAATTATATATAGATATAGATGATAGATAGATAGATAGATAGATAGATAGATAGATAGATGATAGCTCTATTTGACCATTTTTGTGATGTTCCCATTCACTTGGTAGATTTACCTAATGAGAATAAAATCTCCTGCATTATTGATCTTGGGAAAAAGTAGCAAGTATCACATCTTTTTCCTGTGAAAACACTGAGATGAAATATTTCTATTTTTCATGTAGGGATCTTGCATTGGGTTTGAAAGACATGCTTCCAAGGTTAACAGAATTAACCCGTAATAGTGCATCATGCCTGTAGGTCACTGTTCCAGATATACCTGGGTTGAAAGCCCACACATCTAGGATCCCAAATGTTCCAAGTAACTGAGCCTGGCTGATGTTAGAATCATGTTCCAAAATATTTACTGCAGTTGGCCAACCATCTCAAATAACTTTAGGAAGAGGAAAAGTTCTATGGGTCACATTTGGAGATATCTCTACATTTATTGGCTTGTGGCTTTTACAAACTTCAAAGGCTTGGTGTATTTCCCACATAGGGATGGATTCTGGCAGGAAAATCATTTATAAAACAGGAGTTTAGAAGGATGTGAATCTGGGACACACTCATAGCAGCAAAACAGGGAAGTTAAGAATATTTAACTTCCATTAAGTTGTTAAGTACGAAGTCCAGCCTACTATTAAATGAATCATCTTCCTCTAAGAAGTGCTTCCAGCTCAGAACTGGAATTGCTCATTAAAATGAGGTCTAGGAGGGCTTGAGAATACCGCCTAGTACAGGATGGACCAGACCCATGCTGACCTCTACTTCTGGCAGAGTCTGGGGCACGTGGAACTTGCTCGGATATGTTTTCACAGAAAATGGTGTGAAGGCAGGGGACGAAAAGCAGAGCGACAGAAAGGATAGGGAAGATGTTTCTTCAGAAGAGAGAAATGGAGTGCATTGCTCCATTGATCTTCTTCTCTGGAGAGCTACATGCAGTCTAGCAAACCCATCTTCCAGCAGAAAACCCTAAGCTTATCCAAAAGCCGTGGGGATCTAATGTCCTCTGCAAAAGATATAAGAACTCTTAATCTCCAAGCCTACTATCCACTCCCTGAGGCTGCTGTTTTGTTGAGAACGATTTGATATTATGCCTTTTATTTCTTTGAAAATTACATTTATGTGTGTGTGTGTGTGTGTGTCTACATGTCTGTCTGTGTGCTCATGCGCACACACACACACACGCACGCACACACGCACTTTCACTCATTCATATGTAGACATCAGATGACACAGTAGATGGGATTAGAATACGTTCCTGCTTTCAGTGTAGGATCCAGGAATTAAACTTGGGTTGACAGGCTTAGCAGCAAGTACCCTTACCTGCCTGAGCTATTTTACCAGCCCCAAACTTTACATTTTTGTATTTTATGTAGGAGTGTTTCATCATCAGAACACCAACTGATGAAAGCTGGTAACTGGACTAGGAGTTACAGTTTGAAAAATCTTGCCTCTTACATGCATCAAGAGAGTCCCTGGGACCTGAACTCTTTCTCACAAGCTTTAGGAAATTTATGCTGGACAGGCTGGTGTGCACCTGGACCCTTGGCACTTTGGAGGCAAAGGTGGGAGAAGTGTGAGTTCAAGGCCAGGATGGACGACAGCGTAAAACTCTAGAGATCTAGGCTACCTAGCCGGTCTGAGAGAGATGGGAAGAGTAAGCAAGAAGAGGAAGGAAGAGAGGGAAGAAAAAAATAATACAAGAGAGAAGATAAAAGAGAAACCCTTACTATTCCTGGCAGATGTTTTAATGACACCCTGTCTGTTATACCTACCCAGTGATATGGTTTGTTCTACACCGGCAGGAAAGAAAAGCGAGGTAGAGATGTCAGCTGTATGGTTACAGGGGCTTGTAATAGGCAAAGGGAAACATTTCATAGAAATAGTCAAAATTCCATTTCAAAGAAGTTTAAGTTTTAAGAGGGAACTCATTTGTTGTTGTTTGTTGACAGAGATTTTCTGTCCTGCCTGGTCTTTCAGCTGTTAAGTCCCAAAGAATCATACAGAGGTCTACATTAGTTACAAACTGATTGGCCCATTAGCTCAGGCTTCTTATTTACTAGTTCTTATAACTTACATTAGCCCATAATTCTTGTCTGAGTTATCCACGTGGCTCAGTACATTTCTCCTTGAGGCAGTCACATCATGCTTTCTCTGCAGCTGGGTCACGACTGCAGACTGCAGAATCCTCTTCCCAGAATTCTCCTGTTCTCATTGCCCCGCCTCTACTTCTTGCATGGTAGTCTCGCCTATACTTCTTGCCTGGCTACCAGCCAACCAGCATTTTATTAAACAAGTACAAGAAACAAATGTTTTCAGGGTAAAACCATTGTTCCACAGCAGTTGTTGTTATTACTATTATGTGAATGAGATACAGGGTGCAGTTCTTCTTCAGAGGCCTGTGACACACACATCTGTCACTACTCTGCTTCAGAGAACTCCACCTCAGGCTTACTTAGCTCCCAGCAGCTCAAGGTTAGGCTGTGGGGTTCCAGACCTGATGGAGCTGCTCTTCTCTTGGGCTTAAGGACGTGATGGTAGAACTGTATGCTTCTGAGTCAGCTTTTCACATCCCTGATGGTATTTGCTTCTGTGTTATCTTTTCTAGGTTTGCTGGCATGGGAAACCTGCTCAAAGTCCTGACCCGGGAAATTGAGAATTATCCACACTTTTTCCTGGATTTTGAAAGTAAGTCCTGAGCACTGTAATACAGGAATGGAAACTTGGTACTTGCTCCATAGCTTGTTCGTAGGGAAGTTATAGAGATTTCCAATGAAACTCAAGTCAAATCCAAGTGGTATTATGTATTTCTTTCTGACATTATTTCTAAGCCGTTTTCCTCCATCGATTTTGACTTCTAGAAACCTAAACAAAGGTTTGGTTTAACTGGTCCATGTTTTTTTTATATATATATAAAGATTAGCTTTGGTAATATATACATTAAACTTTATCATGAAACTTCCTTAAGATTACACTTCCAAAGAAAAATTGCAAGCTCATTAGCTGACATGGATTAGCACTAAGTACCCTTATACGTACAAGGGGAGCAGTGACGGCCACCAGAAATCAGGCTGACTATTTGTCATCAGTGCCCTCTATTTTATGTATTATTTAATTGCATAAAATTATTTGGGATCTTTCAAATCCTGGCCTTGTTCATAAGATTATTGCCCCAGTTTTTTTTTTGGGTTTTTTTTTTTTTGGTTTTTCGAGACAGGGTTTCTCTGTAGCTTTGGAGCCTGTCCTGGAACTAGCTCTGTAGACCAGGCTGGTCTCGAACTCAAAGAGATCCACCTGCCTCTGCCTCCCGAGTGCTGGGATTAAAGGCGTGCGCCACCATCGCCCGGCTTGCCCCAGTTTTTATTGTCAGTTTGATACAGCCCAGAGTTACCTAGGAAGAGGGAACCATAATTAAACAATTAATCAAATTAACCTGTGACTGTGTCTGGGGTGTTGTCTTGGTTGTTTACTGTAGGCAGCAGCATCCCTAGTTGGCCCCAAACTGGATAAGAAAGCTAGCTGAGTTCTGTGAGCCAGGGAGATAGCCAGAGAGCAAACAAGTAGGGAGGGTTTCCCCAGAATTTCTGCTTCATTTCCTACCTGGCTTCCTTCAATGATAGATGGTGACCCAGGAGTGTATTCCAAATAAACCCTTTCTTCCGCGTGTTGCTTTTGGTCAAAGTGTTTGGCCATAGCAGCAGAAACACTAAATAGAACAGTTACATCTCCATCACCAAACCAGTATAATCAATTTTTTTTCTGGTGTAAAATGGCCTAAAAGTCATTGTTAAATAAACAGAGATTCTGTGTTGTTCATTTGATTGACTGACTGTGCTGACTCAAACTAGGTTGATATTCCCACTCTTTTCCCCTTGTGCATGTGTGCCTGCGTGTGCCTACGTGTGAATGTGTATGCACTCATGCCTCAGTGAGACTGTAGAAGGCAACTCTCGGGAGCTGATTCTCAGTTCACACTTTGAGGAATTCTTTCTTATGATTTCTGCCTCCACCCAGCATACTGCCAACTCTACCCTGCGTACTCCAGGCTCTGCCCTGCATACTGCAGCCTCTACCCTGCATATTGCAGTTTCTACCCTGAATACCCCAGGTTCTGCCCTGCATACTGCAGACTCTTAACATGCACACTCCAGGGCCCACCCAGCATCCCCCAGGCTCTACCCTGCATGCACCAGGCTCACCAGCCAGCAAATATACTTCAGGTTCTGCCCTGCATACTGCAGACTCTTAACATGCATACTCCAGGGCCCACCCAGCATACCCCAGGCTCTACCCTGCATGCACCAGGCTCATCAGCCAGCAAATTCCTTTGTCTCTGCCTCCTATCTCACTATAGGAGTGCTGGGATTACAGATGCTGGCTATCCTACCCAGTTTTTTAAACATGGGTTCCAGGTCATCAGGCTTGCATGGCTGTTGCTTACCCACTGAGCCATCTCCCTGCTCCCCCACACCCCACAGGAGCTGGAACACAGCTGGACATCTCTTTTGTATTCATGCCCACTGCCCTCTTTAACTTGCTAGACACTTTAATTTGTCAAGTATTTATATTAAAGAAAATGGCCAGAACGCCTTCACGTATAGATGGAATTTTCTAGCACTTTTGTTAATTAAATGTTAGACGACCTTTCCAAGTTGTAGAGCGAAAGCCCTCTAAGGTGTTGCATGGCATCTTTGACATATTTAAAACAGCTGCTCAAAAAGGAGAGCGACTCCGGAACTCATGAATTCTGATAACAAAACTCTTAATTACATTCACTGAAGGGTACTTGGCTTCTGATCTAACCCCATTCCTCCCTGTTGTTATTGGTTGGCTTGACTTGGTTTTATTTACATTTGGTTTGATAAGGATTTCAGCTCAGAACTCAAGATGAATTTGCCTGTGATTCTTCTGCAATCTGTCTGTCTGCCTATATGTACACATGTGCATATATTATTATTATTAAAGTAAGATCCATCAATAGCCTTAAATAAGTTGCCTGTAATCTTAACCACTTTGTTACTTTAACTTTAATCGTCCCTGCCATTTTTTTAAGATTCATTCATTTACTATGTGCACAGAGCTCTGCCTGCATGCATGCCCTCAGGCCAAAAGAGAGCACCAGATCTCACCACAGATGGCCTTGAGTCAACATGTGGTCACCTGGAACTGAACTCAGGACCCCTGGGAGAGCAGGCAGTGCTTTAAACCTCTGAGCCATCTCTCCAGTCCCCCCCTACCATTGTTATAGCACACATTTTGCATGATTGCATTCAATGCATGAAGTGGTTAAGAATAATGTTACAGTCTGCATTCATTCACAGTTCCCCAACACCTAGGAGCCCAGAGTAATCCCATGTCCACTCACGCTGGGAAGCCCTAAACACATGAGTCTGCCCTGACTCCCACCTACCTGACAGAATTTGGCGGCCCCCCTTGCTGGTCTAATTGTCTTGATTTCTTGGCTTTCTACACTGCTCTGAATGTTGAGTCACTTGTCAGGACTAATCTTCAGGACCTTGAAAGAGTACAGATAAAACCTGTGAGGATTTAAAGCCATGTTTTCCAACTGGTCCACCCTAGGGCTCTGAGGTTTGCCTTGGAAAGCCTCTCCCCACTGCATGGAAGGCAAGGTGGCCTGAGAGAGGACTCAGTTCCTTTTCCCTGTTGTCACTGTGCTCTGATCTGCTCGGTCATGTGCTGCGGGCATTGTTTTCCTCTTTAAGGATAGGTCCTGGTGGCTAAGGGATACATTTATAGAAATTTGATATCCATGATACAAAAACTCCCTTTGCAGATATAATTCTTCTTGCAGATATAATGAAGAGATTATAATTTCTTCAAGATAAGAAAGCAAGCTCTTGATTTCCATGCCTGGTGCCTTTCTGTTAGGACTATAAATAACTGTAATCTATAAAGAAAATATGAATTTTGAAAAAAATGTACAAAATTCTGCTTCTTTTTCCAAAGAGAGAATAAAAAGAAACTCCTTTCATATCCTCCAGAAGTGTAGTTTTATTTTTCCTAAATTCTAGGAGGGACTGGCTGAGCTGAGGTCACACAGGGAGTGGTTAGGGAGGGGAGATGGGGACCTGAGTCCCTCCAGCTCTCTTCTGCTGCTTTACTGTCCCCAAGTGCCTGTCACAGCAGCCATCAGCTTCTCTGAACACCCCGCATCGCTCTGTTACTGACTAGGAAGAACATGCTTTATTCCTAAACTAAACACGTCTCATGAAAAAGCCAGGGAAAAAAACAACACAGCAAAAACATTCTTTTTATCCTAAATACCATCCCCTTCACCTCTCGCAGGCAGGTTTTCTGTGTGTAGTATTGATTGTCCTAGAACTCACTCTGTAGACCAGGCTGGCCTCAAACTCCCAGAGTCCCACCTGCCTCTGCCTCCCAGAGTGCTGGGATTAAAGGTGTGCACCACCACTGCCCATGGCTTAAATATCGTATTCCTTAAGGAGGTTTCTAAGAAAGACCAATGGTAAGAGAGGTGGAAAATGTGGATGTCAGGAATATTTTCCCTTGAATCTGTGGCTTGCAGATTAATCAAGAAAATGTATGTTGAGCCTGATATGATTTTTTCCATGTCAGCCACACACAAGCATGATTGGGGACTAAATGAGAATAAGCCTAGTGGAAAAGTGACAGATTAAAAAAAACAGACAGACGTTTACGTGAAGACAAGCTAGGAGACTTGAGAAAGGCATAACTTGCCGCTAGAGAACGGAAGGGAACAGAACTTGCATCTAGGTTCTGGAAATGGAGGGCCACAGGAGGGATAGGACAACACATGGTGAACAGGTGGCCCTTTAGTGAGTCTTAAAGAATGGTGAGGTTTCTACGGGCCCAGATGGGATGAGGAGTTCTCCACCAGATGGAAATAGTCAATGGGAGGTGCAGAAATTAGAATAGAAGGGGCATGTTTGAAGAACAACAAGAAGTCCAATTTAGACAGAGCACCCAAGGCCTGTTGAGAAAACGGGGTGGGGGTGTGTGGAATGGAAGGGCTGGCTTGGTAAAGCTGGCACCAAATACACTTGCCAAGCCAAGACTGGAGGCTCATAATCAGAGCTCACAGCCAGACAGAAGAGCTAAGATCCTCTGGAGAATGGGGAAAAAATAAGAGCTGGACAGATGAGCCGCACTTCAGGTACCACACTGAAGAGGGCGCCAGTGGGCAAGGGGTCCTAGAGAGATGCCACAGTAGAGATGCAAGGATACCCTACTAAGTTGAGGTTCTGGGGCTAAAGCCTGGGTGTTGTGGCCTAGCACCTCACCCTTTGTTGAGCAGGGATTTGAGTACTATATGAGCATCAAGTGTAGAGAATGAGGTTGTGAAGGAAGAACCATGTAGGTCAAATCTAGGCAGTTAGGAGAACATAGGTAGTCCTCATATCTAGTGGGCAATAAAGAGAACAATTGAACTGGGAGATGATCGCTGAGCATTCTGGTGTCACCAGTCACCCTGAGAAAGAATATTTGGGGTTTGTTGCTTTCTATCCAGAGGCTGGGTGGTAAAGAGTTAAGGAGCAAGGGGTAGAGAGAGAGGAAGGAAGGCTGAGCAGCATGTAGTAACAGCTTAAATGAATTTTAAGCTTCTTTCAATGTTGAATATTCTTTTTGAAGTCAGTGATGGGATATAATTGAACTGGGTCAAATAGATATAATTAAGCTGGGTCAAA